TTTGCGGATACAGACTAAACGGCTGCTACTCTGAAACCTGTCAGTGTTTTTTTTAGTGTGGGTGAAAAGCACATCTTGCTTTTGTCTATATAATATCCCAGGCTTTAAGGGAAGGTACTGCTAGCAGCAAAAAAGGCAGCTCACCCAGTTCCTACCCATAGTCAAGCTGCATTACTATTTACTACTCAAGAAATACCCATGACCAGAGGTTTGGCAGGAATAAGCAAGAGACACATATTCTTTTAAAGGATAATTAGCTGCCCTGATGGCATTTGCCAGTAGGCCTCTTTCCAAGAGTCTGTGTCAATGCACTCTTAGCACATGTATAGTTAGTTCACTTAGACATATATTAGCTTATTTCTGTGCTAATATCAGTGTGCTCTTCTTGACCTTTAAAATCCTTTTGGAAATTTGGTGGAAACACTCTCTCCTTTTTGGTCAATCATATTCTCAAGTGCTAAATGAGATTCTTTGATGCTGGCTTACTTCTCTTCCCTATAACCAACTACACCATATTTGCTAGACTTTGCTTCATCTCTGAAGCGCTGAAACCAGAAATGTCAACAATGAGCCGACTCTCATTCTTTAGACTAAAACTGAATAATCATTTTTAATTTTTAGCTGGGCACTGCTGATTGCTGTATATTAAATTGCTATACATCTCTTTAAAAGTATCTTGATATATCTTACACAGTACCCTATCATGTTATCGTGAGAAACTTTGTGTATGAACAGGGATGCTATGGACACTATAGACTCCATTATCTTTTAAGAGTTGTTACCAAGAAGTAAATCAAACTATACTAAAACTTTTTAGGCTCCCAGCGCTCAATCCTGCAAGATTCTGAGCACCTTGGCCCCAAGCCAGCAAACCACTTAAGTATATGTTTTAACGTTAAGCACATGGACAGTCCATTGACTCATCGCATTAATGAAATTAAACGTGTGCTTAAGTGCTTTGTTGGATGAGGGCTACAGTGCCCAGCACCATGCAAAATCAAGCCTTTAAGTCATATTTAAGTCTCAAAGTTGCACAAACCTATAAAGGCTCTATGGCCAGAATTCCACTGAAGACACATGCTACTATTGTGTATTTTAAAAATAAACACCTGCTCTTAATATAATAAAATGAAATTGATTTAATTCAATGCAATTTACAATCATGAGATGTTTAGACATTTAATTAGGCAAATTAATGGGATTGAATTATAAAATGCTTATAGTATTTTGTGCTTCTAAATCTAGAAAGAATATTTTTGCCTCCTGCTATCATGGTTTGACTTTTAAAATTCCAGGATCACACAATAAGGAATACAAATGGTGGGGGTATGTAAAAAAATAATCAAACAATGGTTGGAAGGCCTTACTCATTTCTCATTCTCCCCTCTCCCCACCCCCATCCAGGCAAAGCTCTTGTTGATTTTACTACCATGGGAGTCTTGATGAGTAATATGTGTCAGGGACTAAATCCTCAGCTGGTGTAAATCAGCATATTTCTATGAATCTGGCACCAGAACTGGGCCCAATGCACAAACAATACACAAATGGCAATATTTGACCATATTCACATACAAATCTGAAAAAGTCTGTCTAGAGTGAGTTCCAATTGGTAATAATTTAGACCTTTGTGAAACCAATGTATGTTACACCAACTTAGGGTCCCTTAGACTGATCTTACCTACATATAACGTACACTCCCCCCCTTTAAAAATAACCTTTCATTTTGGCTCGCTGAGACTGAAATGAACGGGAACGTGAGTTCACATTACTTAAACTCACATTCTAAGGGAGCAGAAGATATGAGTGTAAAGTCAAAACAACTAACTGGAGGTGTAACAAGGTAGCCTAATTTAACTCAAATCCAGTTCTTTCACTTTCACCTTCTGGCTCCTTCGATACCCTTGTATACCAGTCCAAGGGAATCCATTGGTCTTGCAGAACCTACCTGAGTATAAAGAAGCCTGATATTCATTTCACTCCAGGGTAAATCTGACATAACCTCAATGAAAGTGCTAGTGTAAAAACTGGTATAAGTAATATGGAAGAAGACTGCTGAATTCTAACACATCACCTCTGAATTAAGCCAGTTGTCTCTTGTGCTATACATAGCCAAGCCAGCAGAGGGAGCTCAAAGATTTTGATCACCTTAAAGATATCGCAACACAAATACAATATAGATTTCCAGTATATTGATACAGTATCGATTATAGGTACATTGCTAAGAGAATTCCTGTAAACATAGGCAAATATCTTTAAAACAAATACATTACATTCATACACATTTAGAGGTTTAAATTCCAGAGATGCTTTCAGATATCAATTAAGGACTTCCCTAATTTTTATTTAATTTTTCTCTTAAAATCCTTTATGTAAAGATTGGAAAAAAATACTTTAATAACATTTTGGACATTGTTGTTACAGGCCTCTAAATTGTCTGTATACATAGTGATTTAAAACAAATCCCAAGAAGAAGGTAACTGGTCACATGTGTTTCACGTAACTTAGACAGAACAAACAACAAATACTATAGTAAAATACTGTAAGATGACTCCTATTCAGCACAGTTGCATAAAAGAAATCCAGTTTGTAATAAAATGCCAGATGTTACTATTGTAACGTTAAGGTATAAACACTGTCCTAGTTTTCAAGAGCTGTTCGTCATCACAGGTCACAAATAAAATCATGTGTGAGTGCTCATATTTTAAAATGACTGATTTCGTTTTGACAGAGTTCAACAACTACTGACCATAAGTAAAAGACTTCTCTGAGCAGCATCAGTGCATAAGTTACAAACAAATTACCAGTATTATGGAGTATCAGCAGTTGCTATGTAATCTAGGTTGTAGTTTTTTTGTGCAGCCTTGACATGTTTGCAGATGGCATTACTAAAAAAGTTAATAAATACTATACCATGATGCTGACAATGCTTTGGGATTTCCTATATTTATAATGTATGCGACTCAGGGCTATTTATGCCATACTATGATAAGTGTGTATTATTTATTGGCACTCATTGTGCCTGGGAACAAATTGTACAGATTGCTATTTTCCTATCTAGAAGGTGTCTTTCAAAGATCATTCAAGCTAAGGTTAAATATTATGTGTAGGTTTTAATTGTTTTAACTAACCTCTTTCCAAGGTGGTAACAGAGCAAAATGTATCACCTTCTTTGGTAGGAGAATATAACCTTTTACAATGTGAAAGTAACTTAATAATGGAGAAGAAATGGTTAAAATGGGAATTAGGAGTCCAAGATACATGAAACAAAGCTGACCACGTTTTTAATTAAGATTAAATTTTGGCTTTCGAGAGTCAGGGGAGCACAGTGAGCAGGGAATACTTTCAAAAGCCAAATGCTGAGGAGGAGATCTTATGCCAATAGAAGGTATGTAGGCCCTGATCCCATTCTTAAAAATAGGCACATGCTCATGTATCTTGCTGGATCCTTGGATAGGGTGTGTTTAGGCAAGGGGAGGACCATCACTTCTCCTACCCATAGTGTGCTGGCAGGGTGGTGGGGCGAGGAATGGCTACACCACTTAACATTTAGCAAGTGATACTGCCTCTATATGCCTCACTGTGCCAGAAGGTATCAGAGTTGTCTGAACTGAAATTAAATAAAAGCATTTCTGTGTATACGCTAACATGAAAAATGTCAAATTCATGAACAGGTGTAAATATTCTAGAAATGTTTGATAGTCTCTAAATGGCTGTCAGTGTTTGTAATATGATACATACATAAATTAAAGAAATAGGAAAGTAATTAGCGTGACTTCCAAAGTTACTTTTTCATTCTTTCCTCACATTTTTCTTTTAGGTAAAACCCTATCAGAACCCAAATTTCACTGAAATTTAAGGGCTAAATTCTGATTTCCTCTGGAAAGCCCAAGCAAACAGCTCCTGAAGAGTGGACTTGTCCTTCCCACCTCCAAATTCATACCTACTACTGTATATAGTAGCAGCTGCAGTCTGCTGAACATCTCCTTTCTCATGGAGGTTAGTCAATGAATTTGTATAGTTTGCTTGCTCACTAGACATAAGCCTACCTGTCCCATGGCTTCCCCCAAATTCGCCCTCTGAGCTGCTAAAGAGAGATGTGCCTGGAGTCCTTCTCCACAGCAACTAAGGATTAAATAATCCTGGTGCTTAATTTGTGCTAGGGTTGAGCCCTGGAACCTCTAGGCTTGGCAGTTTATAGCCCTGGAAACCTCTGGACTTGCCATGTCCGTTATGAAAGTAAAAAAAATTGCTTGAGCCCCCCCACCTCTTTCATTACAAATTAGGCAATGTATTATCCCCTGTTCAACCCAAATACGTCTCTCTGGCTGCTGGCCCTTGAAACCTCTTCAATCTGCTTAGGATGCACATTCATAGAAAGTGCTCCCAATTTCCCCTCAGAAACCACAACATTAATAGACTTGGCAAGATCAGTTTACTGTGTCACCAGCCTCCATAGCCTTCCAAGGCTTTCAGTGTTTAGGCAGTTATGGATATTTTTCTGGTGGACTGGATTCTAAATATTTGATTTTCTTTAATGTAATCTATACATTGGTGCTACATTTTATTTATAGTAAATAATACTTTACTGAAAATAAAGACATTCATCATGTAAAATGTACGCCCCCATCTGTTATATGAAATGGAACAATAGCATATAACTAACAAAGCTACTTGAGCCATAAATTGTGCTATTAGAAAGATAAAATGCCATAGAATGTAAACATTTTAATTCAAAAGTAAAAAACCAATTACCTATTATGAAATTTCATTACAACTATCACCAAAGATATGAAAAAATCACTGTTGGCCCTCACAAGTGCATTCTTCAGCATGGTAACAGTAAAATTATGGATTTTCTACCAGATAAACCAACTATTGAGTTAAATAGTTATTTATTGATTTTAACCACAACAAAAATGATTTCCTCCTCAGTTTAGTTCCAACCTAAAATAAGACCTAACTTGTTGTTCAGTTATTTGAGTTACTTTAAGTTGCCTTACCATGGTTGTCTCTGCAATGGATCCAAAGCTGTTTATAAATATGTTGCATGTGACATTAACTGGAGGGCCTGCAAAAGAAAAAAATATTGTGTCACCATCAAAATATATTAACAGACTAAACTATGATGAAAACAAAGACTTAATCACTTGGGAAGAAGTAAGAGACTCCATTCAGGACTTCTTTTTAAGTGATGTGAGTGTGTTTTATTAGTGCTGTTATTTTAACTGTTTAATGGATTTTTTCCAGTTCATTTTTTTTCCAGAGATTCATTAACTGTCCTATAATTTGTAGGAATCCCAATTAGGGCTAAGGAAAGAGAAGGGAGTTAATCATGTCTTGAGGGAAGATGCCATGCAAAAGTGAATGTGCTTTTTGTTGAATATACTATGTCACCTAAAACAATCTAGGGGTTACATGTCAGTTTTAGTACAACAGAATATACATCATAGTCCTTCTTCACAGCAACCAGGAAAAAAGTTGATCTGTTATGGCTGAATCCTATCTACTTCTTTAGTAACAAAGCACATTATTAGAGCTTTTTGCTCCTGTTAGCTGTGTTGGTTATTCAGTGCTAAGAAAAAATGAGCTAGATTCTATTCTGCTTTATGACAGCCACAGAAATGGCATTCACCTGCCTCTACAGGTGAGGAAACTTGATAGGGCTGGCAGTGAAAGGACAGTCCCAGCAGTGAGCGTCTGTAACAATTGGCCTGAATTTTTCAGAGATGATGTCAGATAGAAGCACTAACATATAGCTATAGAATGTGAGGAAATGGACTGGGCAGGAGTTGTGATACCAGACTTAGTGGCTGAGTGGGGTGTGACCAAACTAGTTGCTGGCACCCCCTGTGGCCAGTAAAAGACCTTGGATTTTAGTGATTGGCCTTGGGCTCATGGAATATAGTGGCACCTTGTGGTCTTCACAGACTGAGGTTAGAACTTGTTGCCCTCATAGGCCAAGGTCCCAACCCTTCTGCACTCTCTGTCCCCCTTGCAGAGGGGAGAGGGGAAAGGAGTAAGCTAGGACTCAGAGCAAGCTGAGTCCTTCAGGCTAGGCTGAGGAAAGTCTAACCCCAGTTATGTGTAATATGGGTCGTGGGTAGCACTCCTCCCCTCTGTTAAAGTTTAGTAGAAGTTGCAGCATGCCACTTAAATCCATCCATCTGTTAATCCACATTTCGCTGCTCTGTCCTTATCAATTGTTCAGGATCCATTCCTGCAAAAATTTACAACCAGGCATAGTCTTTCTACCATGAGTAGCTCCGTTGTATTAAATCAACAATTATTATCTGCCTTGACTTTGCAAAGTATCAGTAATGGCAGAGCAATGCTTGTGAGTCTGACATCTGACTTGAGAGCTGAATCATCTTCTCGTGAAAAAAAGGTTTTAAAATAATGTTAAACATGGTATTATGGGATTTGATGTTACAGTTTCTCTATTACTTCTATATCATATTTACTCTGTTAATTAGTGAAAATTTTTCTTCTAACTGCTAGCCCAATCATCATTCTTATTATTTAACTCAGTTTGGAATTTGAAAGCCAAGCGGGGTTCTTTTCTTGTTTCATATGATTACCAGTAATAAAGATCCCAGATTTGGAATTTAAGACCAAATCCTGCAAATTTACTAACAAGAGTAGAGTTTAATTATCCTGAGTAATCCCACTGAAGTCAGAAGCAGCTCTGTCATTGCTGATGCTTCACTGCTGACTGACATCAATGGGACTACTGCTGCAATAAATGTTTGAAGGATCAGCACTTCTGTTAACAAAATTCTGCTCATGGTGCATGAACCAGAATAGAATCCAGCTCTCCTTTTTCTCAACTGTATTGGCTCTGCAGTGAAGTACAGAAGCAAAAAAGCACTAAAAGGTATCTTTCTCTGTTTACTTCACTGAGATGAGTACATACAGGAAGCAGATCTGTTGGGTAAGAAGGTACCAATTTTTCAGTCACTTTGACTATAATGCCATTTAATTTACTAATTAAAAAAAATTAAAGCTGCCTTATATCATGCTTCTTGAGTTTTAATGTAAGATATGACTGGGGCCAAGGAAGGGTGCACGTAGTGGGAGGCAGGGGCGGCTCCAGGCACCAGCGCAGCAAGTGCGTGCCTGGGGTGGCAAGCTGCGGGGGGCGGCCTGCCGGTCGCTGTGAGGGTGGCAGGCAGGCGGCTTTTGGCGGCGTGCCTGCGGGAGGTCCGCCGGTCCCGCGGCTTTGGCGGCAATTAGGTGGTGGGGACGCCGATGGCGCGGCACTGGCGGACCTCCCACAGGCATGCCGCTGAATCCATGTGACCAGCGGACCGCCCGCAGGCGCCAAAAGCTGCCTGCCTGCAGTGCTTGGGGCGCAAAAAACATAGAGCCACCCCTGGTGGGAGGGAATGGGAAGGCGATTTCAGGGGACCACACTTAATGGCTGCCACTGAGTAGTGAAGTTATCCGATGTGTGTGCACAAGTAAATTCCAGTTCAGAGATACATCACAGTGCATTCTATCATTTCCAATTCAATATGCTGCTGTCTACTTCAAAAGAGAATCTAATAGAATTTTTTAGTGTACCCAATGGCATATCAGTTATTGAAGAAAAACAACAAAATAATGCTATGGATCCGATGCACAGTTCCATAATTAAAAATTAGCAAAATATTTAAATATAATAATTTGTCTAACAAATATAGAAACCAAGAGATTAATATACATAGGGGTTGTCCTTTATAGTCATAGGTTAACACATGTTCCTGCTTTCCAAAGTGATCATAGATTGCTTAGTTCAATTTACTAGGATCTGAATCTAAATTTCTTAATGTGATAAGTTAATGATACAGGTAGGAAATAAGAGGTGAGAGAAAAATAACATTTTAACTAAGTTGGGGTTGATAGCATGTGGAGTGTATTCCTGTATTTTATCAATGCACACAGAAGAAATGGGAAGTAGGGACACTTTTGTGATGCAAAACAAGCAGATTATTCTTAGATGGAAGAAACCATACAGACTTTATGTAAATTAAGTAAAGCAAAATCCAAAGAGGTGTCATTCTCCATATAAGAAATGATTAGGCCAGATGGGTTAAAAGAGTAAGCCCCCAGTATGGATCTTACTAGATGGTACATGAAATTATTTAAAAGAGAAAAGTATCTTGATTTGTATCAAATGAAAATTAAAAGTGTTGCCTATACTCTACATCAATATGAGAAGTGTGTCTGTGGTAACTGCCAAACTGTTGGGCTTTATTCTGTCTAGATAGTGCAAGTCTAATCCTCTCACAGAATGTTGAGAATGGAAGGATTCTCACTTGACACTTCCACATTCAGATTTGGAGAGCTATTGTTCACTGAGTCACTGTTACTCTGACAGACAGGACGAGAGCACTCTATTCCCAGAGATTATCAATATCTGAGTTTCCCTGGGTTGATTTACAGAGTGAAAAGAAAATTTGCTGCATTCTAAAAAGTGGTAGCAGGCTTAAGTATATAGATGATGGAGGCTACTTGGGGGGGAGGAGGGAGCAAGCTTGCTCCTACAAAACCTCTACATACAAGAGAAGCAACATATGACAAGAAAGATGGAAATAGTCAGATTGAACAAGGCTCTCCTACCTATTCCTAGTCTGCACTTGCTGGACAAATTTGTTTTCTATACTCTCCAAAATACCAGGATGAGTTAGTCTTATCTTGTTTAACCTTGAAGAAGAAGAAGTGCTTGCTTCTATGACTAACTCAGAGTGCGATGCAGGGAGAACAGGAGAATTCAGGAATGACAAAATAGGGCCAAGTGTCCTTTATGTCAAAACTTTAGGTGCTTTTTTTGTAGTGTTCCCACCTGACCATCAAGTGACAAGAATAACTAACCCAAGTATTCCAGAACAGTATCAGTTTTGAGAAACAGGGAAACACTGATTTTAATATTGTAAATCAGAGTTAGCTTTAATACTTAAACATGTACTGTGTTTCCAAAGTTTAATATTGTTGCCCTCTATTGCACTTCAGTGGCTATCTTAGCAATGCTTTCTCAGTGTTATGATGAAATACCTAATAAACAACTTATGACTGATGTTTTTTAAAATAGTTATCTTTTAAAAGTAAACCATTCAATATTAAATTTTATATTAAGTAAGGCATCATGTATCTTGCATCATGCTACTGCAAGTTTTCCACGATCATCAGCAGAGATGTTGGAAACTATAAAGCAGGTAATGACGGTAACGTTATCTGATTAAAATTTAACCACGTAGATAATTGTTGCTACCACTGTTATACAATTGCAACAAATCTTATACAAAAATGTGTCAAGTAAGGTGTCACTAGAAAAGTTATGATTTGCTAAATATGATTATGCTATTTGTATGCATGTATCATTTTTATATTTGAAGTTATGAGGATTGGCTCTATACCTGTATTTTAAATATGTTTGCTTCTGTGGTAAGGCCTGCATATCTTGAAGGGACTATTCAAGTTAAATGGCCCATCAAGGAACACTTAACTCACAATGGACCATGAAAGACTCCCATCCACGCCTGATGGGCTTTCATGTGAACAACTGCTGTAACTAAGCGAAATCATGCATGGACATGTGACTTGCCCATGTGACTCCAAACACCATCTTTCTATCTGTAATTTTCCACTAGCTGTGTTGAGTGCTTTGTTTGAAATAATAAGGCCCTAAAAAAAGTCTCCATTTTGCCTCTTTCCTGCTCAAACCTCTGGACTATGATGAACTTGTACTAATGGGAGCATTCTAACCAAGGGACTGAGGACCTTCCTGATTCCATCAGGGCCGCCCAGAGGGGGGAACAAGTGGGGCAATTTGCCCCGGGCCCCACAGGGGCCCTGTGAGCCCTGGCCCAGCGGCGGTCCGGGTCTTTGGCGGCATTTCGGCGGCAGGTCCTTCAGTGCTGCTGAAGATGTGGAGCGACTGAAGGGCCCCCCGCCGCCGAAATGCCGCCGAAGACCCGGACCGCCGCCAGGTGAGTACAAGCACCGCAGCTCCCCCGCTTTGCCCCAGGCCCACTGAATCCTCTGGGTGGCCCTGTATTCCATCAGCTACAAGCCTGATCCAAGAACTTTGCATTTATTGTAGGTATTTGATTTCTTTAACCAATTTTAACTCTCACCTTTCTTTCTTTCTTTCTTTCTTTCTTTCTTTCTTTCTTTCTTTCTTTCTTTCTTTCTTTTCATAAATAAAAGTTTAGATTTAGATATTAAAAGATTGGCAACAGCACGATCATTGGGTAAGATCTGAGTTGTATATTGACCTGGGTTTGTGGCTGGTCTTTTGGGATCAGAAGAACCTTTTATTTGATTAAACTGGTTTTAAAGATCCACTCAACTTTAAGTCTAGTGTTTTTGGTGGTGACACAAGGTCTGGAATGCCAGGGGAAACTGTTTTTCTGACTTCTTGTTAGCCAGTGTGGTAAAACAGAAGTTTACTTTTGTTGCTGGTTTGGTATATCTTATGGGAGAATAACCACCAGTTTTGGGATGTGTCTGCCCTATTTCTCAGCAGTTTGTCCTGAATTTGTTATTCTCAGTTGTGACCCACAGAGGCACGGTTACAATGACCCATTGCATTATTCCTGAAATAGCTACAGCTCGTCCCTTCACATTCCTATGTACAAAAGCCCCATTCATGACAGAGAGCCTGATCCTGAACGCCTAACTTGTTGAAAACTCTGTATTCAGACACTGACAGCTTTGAATAGATAAGGACTTCAGGATTGGACCCAGATTTGGAAGACAGCAATGCATTCATATCTAGAGCTTTTCACCACAACTGAAGGAGTGGAAAAAACATAACATGGACTCCAAAGGCAAGAGTCCCTCTCCTCCTCTCATGGAGTGAGGCACTTCCTATGGTCAATTTTGGCATAGTCTTAAATATTCTATAACTAGGACAAGCTTTTTACAGGAGAAGAATCCCTGGTTTCTCATCCAAAGATGTTTCAGAATTTCCATATTTTAGAGTTATAACTAATATTGGACCTATTTGAAAATATTGCTTAATCCCCCTCTTCTATTGAACAAAAACATGACTATCTTGTGTATTACTTCACAAACACAAAGCAGTCAGAAACAAAAAGTGTAATTATGAAGACTAAGTATGACATGCAGTTGGTAGTCAAAGAATATATTATCTTCCGTGTCTAGGAATTTTAATAAAAAGAGATTCTATTTCCTAGTTATACCAGGGTTGATAGTTTAGGATTTCATAGTAGTACTTGTTTCATATCTTAATTGTTGATAAATTACAAAGTCCAAATATCATGAAGTTCCACTTGTTCGTACTTGTTCTTAGAATAATAATAGCAAGAAAGTGGCAAAGTAGTTTAAGGAGATATTTATTCTTAGCAATAGATCTGAATCTTTCTTGGCAAATTTATTCAAATTGCATAGCTGTCTAGAAAATTTACAAAGTACACTTTTAAGAAACAGCAAATCAATGTTGAATTAGGTTTTTGTCTCTTTACAGTCAGATGGTTACCAAAAAAGTCTCCCAGTCCTTTGAATTATATTCAAGAAGCACAGTACTGAATCCACTAATTGCTAAATATCTGCCCCTTCCACACTGTAGCCTCCTCAGAAGATTGTGATTGCATGGTGCCCATGACAAATTCCAAAATCCAATCCCCAAAGGAATTGCTAAGTTATAAGATCCCTGCTTTTATATACTGTAGCAAGGCATCTTCTCAGTCTCACCAGCCTCAGCTGTTTTTAGCCTTGGTAAGACAGGCTTGAGATAAAACAGTCCCTCTTGGCTGCACAGAGCCAGTCTTTTATGCTTGTTTTTTCTCCCTTATTGGAGGGAATGCAGTCGGGTCCCCTCCTGGTGAGTCTTGCTGTTCCTCACTTACTGGCAGCTTAACTTCACCCCTCTCTCCCCAACAGGGGAGGGTTTAAAAAGGTCTCAGGCAGCCCTTAGTTGGGATTAGCTGATCCTAATTGACCTCAGGTAACTCTCTCTCAGTTGATCCTAATTGACCTGTAGTCACCCCTCCTCAGTTGATAGGGAGGAGGGCCTTTTACCCTTCTGGGTGTGTTTTTTACCCCACCTTTGCAGCTGTTTGTCCTGAGTTTTTCACAATACTCACCCATGGAACCTTAGAAGATTCAAAGAAAAAGAGGAAAGAGATTGCATTGCTTGGTCACCTTAGATTTAAAGTAAAGCTGTGCTGCACAAAAGAGGACATCCGGCAAATAAGACCAAGCAATGTAATCTAAGACTTAGATTGAATTTGAAATTTACATGCTAAAGGGAATAGCTATGGTATATAGTTGAGAACACCTTTAATAAGGAGGCAAATAAATAGAAAGATTCCACACACACATGGAAGTAATCTTTTAAGTGGAACTTATCTATTGTTATTGTGCAAGTTCTGTTTTAAACCCAGGTTTTTTTCCCCCCTTAAGCAAGAAGCCAATAATTTCTATTCTCTGAGGCATGCAACTGGCAATCAATCAACCTCTAAGGAACTTGTTTCATAGCCATAGCAAATATTGTATATTGATCAAAATAATACATATTTTTGGGGTGATTTGTTTGATGAATATTTTCTATACACATTTGTTGTTTAAACTAAGGTGTCAGGAACGTATTCTGAGAAATTTCACCTCTACTCACCTATTGCAAGCTTGACGTTTCCAGATAGAAGTAAATCATTTGAGATTAGTTTTATTTACTGTTCTATCTTTTTAAGATTGGTTGACTGGGAAGCAGTTTGACAGACAACTCATTCTCTTCTTACCAACCAGATTCATTGACAAACTATGGCAAAGGAAAGTAAATAAATAGAATCCAGTACCTATAACTTCAGGGATGTAGCTAGTCAAGTTTCTGAGCACCGGTAAAATTAAAAACATTTTAAAATGCAGTGATAAACAAGAGGTGAGATTGAGAAGGGTGGTGAGATAGATCCTGAGAAGGTAAAAATGGAGGGAGTCCTGGCTTCTGATTGGAAAAGGCCTGTGGCAGAAGTGGAGATTTATAGAAAATATCTTGAAAAGAGAAGAGAGAACACCTCCTGAAAACAGGAAGAAGGGCAAAGATGAGGAAAAACTGATGCAAAGGAACACTAGTAGGGGCTTTATTTGCAGGAGATTTTCCCCTCCACACACAATCTGTATTTGAAAAGTATTCTTTTAAATAAATAAATAAAATAATGGAGATATCCCATGTCCTAGAACTGGAAGGGACCTTGAAAGGTCATCGAGTCCAGCCCCCTGCCTTCACTAGCAGGACCAAGTACTGATTTTTCCCCAGATCCCTAAGTGGCCCCCTCAAGGATTGAACTCTCAACCCTGGGTTTAGCAGGCCAATGCTCAAACCACTGAGCTATCCCTCCCCCCTTTTATTTTACTGAAGGTACAAATGATTAACTTGATTCAAATATTTTAAAATTGTTTCATAAATTTATCTAGAATTCTTAAACTCTGAAAAGTTGAGAACCCCCCTAAAGTTTCAACATTCTACCTAAGCAAATTGAGGGTCACAGAGCTTGTTGGAAGCCTATTAAAAGGGTGACAGAAGACTATTGGAAAGCCATAGATACAGTCAGTGACAGGAAGAGGATAGCTCCTAATGTTTTCTGTTTTAAATGCATTCACCAACTACATGGTATGCTCTTTATCATTAGCACTAGTATTACAGTGGTCCTAGATGCTGTATCCTATATGGACATACAGGAAGTACTTTGGTACTAATTATTTAGATGCATGCACATCCCTATTTGATTCATGAGCATACACCAAAAATATGAAAAAAAAATATGGATCTGTGAACATCTTATGTGTTCCTTTTAGTTCTTTAAATTATACTATATACATATCACACTAAAATATTAAAATAATACTAAACTTTAGTAGCATTTAGGCATCTACCCAAACTTCAACAAACAGTAGACCATGTTTTTGCTGAAATTTGAATGATCAAAGTCAAGGTTAGCTGAGCATGGCTGAGTACATTTGTTTTGCTTTTAAATTTTCTCCAAAACACACATTTGCATCAAAGACAATGTTAAATTAAAGTGTATTAGTTTTCAAAATTACCTTTGAAATTTGGTCTGATTCTTGCATCATAGCCTGACATCCGACCCATTAATTTATCCAGGAAATCAGATGGCGACATTGGCATGCTACGAGATCTTGCACTGTCTGTTTCCTTTGTGACTACCAAACTAAAAACAAAAACAAAAAAGACTTTATTAGTCACAATTTCTAGTAATAATTAAGTACCTAACAACATAGTCATTTTGTCCATCAGCATTAAAACAGATCAATTCAAAGGTAAAATTGTATTTTAAATTAAACATTAAAAATAACAGAATTATTTTAATTTGAATATATGAAAATAGTATGCTCTTATTATAGCCATGGTTATATATCTATTTTTTTTCTAAATTTCTGCTAAACGGCATTGTGATCACATTTTTGTGTGTTGAGGCTTCTCAAAATTAACAATATTTCTATACAGCCCTAATTGATTTGCTCCACAAAATTGCAATAGTAAATAACAATGTCAACTACACAAATATCTATACATCTGGAATGCCATGATTTTGAAAGTGCTCTGTGATTAATCTTTTTAACTGGGTTCTTTATAATGGAAACTTGCATTAGAGAAACGTAGACTGGGATCTTTCATGTTACTTTGAACAGACACACCCCTTTTTTGTATCATTGATTGAATGTTTGATGGTGATATCTATGCAGATGAAACCAGGTAATTCATTGCCAAATTTTATTCCAGAACATTATCAATGAGGTTCATTTTCCTTTAAAACAGAAGTGACTACTGCAGTGGAAGAAAACCTTAATGAAAGGATCTATCTTAGGGCAAACTTCTCCTCTCAGGTCCACATGGCAAATGTCATCTCCTATAGTCTGCACTGTCTAGATATATGAAACACCCACTGACATCCTAAAGGGTGCTCTGCACATATCAAGAGAGCAGAATATAAGCACAGAGATCAACCATGTGGATCCTAAAAAAAATAGAAAAAGAAATCAAACTGGTAAATAAATATATTAAAGTATAGATATATAAAATTATTGTAAACAACACTTCTCTTTGATATACTGTGAAACTAGAACAAAGTGTCTGGTTCTAGGATCCTCAGAAAAGATGAAGAGTTCTGCTGAATTACCATGATCTCAGGTTCTAGGACAGCGCATAAAGAGATAAATCTCTTCTGCTGACTCACTCTGATGTCAGACAATTGGATCCTATTAGTGTCAGCTGATTATCAGATAAGGGTCTAAGTGTCTCTTCAAGGCACAAGAAACTAAGGGTAGGAATCGAAAACCCATAGGGACCTTCAAAATCATTAAAATCTTAGGCTGAGGTTTATGTAGCTTATCAGTAAATGAATCCTCAGCAAGGGAGTAAGTTTGGACCAGATTCTGTATGTGAACTGCTTTAGGAGAAAATTGGGAATGCCAGTTTGTTACAGAAACTTTGTTTTTTCTTTCAAATTTAAAATTTCTGTGGACCCATTTATTTGTCCCCTAATTATTGACTGCATGGCTAAAACACTTCTGTGGTCTTCAGTCATATTTTTGTTTACAGCATGAAGAGTTATAATGTTTTATTGAACTGAAAAATTGGCCCCAGAAATGGACATTTGGATCTTAAGTTCTAAAGACATAAAAACCAATATTATTTATCTTTCTTCATTGGACCAAATTTTCCATGCAATACATTTAGGATTTTATCACTGAACAATTAACTTCTGGACATCTCTTCTGATTAAGGAAGTTGTTATTGTTGTTGATCTTTTTTAATTAAAAGAACTAGTAATTTAAAACTTTTCAATATATAGTACAAAGAGCAGCACTGTAGCGATGATCAAGGAGTTATAAAAATCAAATGGCTTCCTGGAAACCAGAAATGTACCTAGATTTATCCCACTGACAAGAAATATATATGATTTGAGTTGGAAAGAATGGCTAGTTAGTCATTTAGTCTACCATCTGCATAAGGGTAGGATTGTTTTCATTATCCCTAAGGCAGTCTTGATAAGTGGGTGTCAAGCCCAGCCTTGAATATCTCCAGCGATGATGATTCTACAATTTCCTTTGGTGGTAGCTAGCTTAGTTGTGTATTTCTTCCTGTAGCTAGAAAGGTTTTTTTGATATAGCATTTAACATAATTTTTCCCTGGTGCAGTTTAGACCCATTACTGTGTGTCCTGTTTTCAAGTACCAATGATATTTTCATCCTCTTTCCAATATTACTTATGGACTGCATTCACCACTGTCTTACATCTTGAGTAATCATTGTGCAAAGGGAGTGATAAATGGTTGTAAAGCAAAACAAATCAAACCCCACTACAACCACTTTGCACAATTGTACACACTTTGACTACACTAGACAGTGAAGAATCAGACCCAGTGGGAGGTCTTAAACTGATATGACCATTGGGTTGCAGGTTTTTTGGTTTGGTTTTGCTCCGCTCTAAACTTTTAGTATGTTTGTCTTTTTAAAACTGTACTGCCCAAAACTGAAAGCAGTACTCCAAATTGAAGGGTAACTAATGTTGAATAGAGAAGAATATATATTTGCTTTCCTAATGATTCTCCCAATATAGCAACATGATCATGGTTGTTGAGTAATATTTAATGTAGTCTTTTAAAAACCTAAGATCTCTTTCAGTGATTCTGTTGCCCAGCCTATATTCTGACATAACTGAAATTGGTATATTCAATATAGGTGGTCTATATAGTGTAAATAAGTTCTATTTTAATTCATTCCTTTCCAAAAAGGTTTCCCTCAATTTCAATAGGACATTCTCCTGAGTAAGCACTGAAGGATATTTTTCTTTAATAATAACTTCACTTGAGAACATATATTTTAAAGAAAGTTGTGTGGACAAATACTAGTTGAACAGTAAAACACCTGTTGAATTCAGTAGGACCAGGAGTGGTATAGTAGGTCAAAAGTGGGGTCTTAGGTCTTAGTAGCTATGCCTGCACTGAAGCTGGAAAGTATCATTCTCAGCCTGAATAGACAGACTAGCGCTAGCACTGCTTGAGCTTCTATGCTAAAAATATTAGTGTGATGCTGCAGCCCGGGCAGCAGCTTGAGCTAGTGGCCCCAAGTCCAAGCCCACCCGACCCGCTGAGTCCAAACTTGGGTGACTAGCCTGAGCCACTGCCTGTGCTGTGGCATCCACATGGCTATTTTAGTGCACTAGCTCTGTTCAAGGTGTCGTGAATCTGTCTAACCATGCTGGGAACCACACCTTCTAGCTGCAGTGTAGACATTCCCAATGAGACCTAGCTGATGTAATCTGGGCTTGTCTACATTTAAAAAAAAAAAAGTTAAGGTTGCAAAATTAAACACTGAAAACTCTTCAGAAATGCCAGAATAAAATTCCCTGTGCCTTCTGTGTAATCTCCAATTACATAATCACATACTGTATTTTCCATAGGACTCCTGCCTCATTCGGTGTACAGAACAGACAGTACACTGAGAAAGAATCAGGTTTGTGTGGCAAATGAGGCTGTTATCTGTAGTATCTCCACCTCATTTGTGGTAGAGGTTGGAAGTCATGTAGTAAATGAGACAGGATTGCAGGAAAAGAGAGATCCGCTGTTGGCTGAAGTTTCCATTAGCTTGGATTGTAATATCATAAAAACAGCTATTCATGCAGGACTGTAGTTGTATCTGAACTAGAGCTGAAAAATTGGTGCCTGCCTTTTGTGGATCTAGTATGGAAGCTAATGCATGGGGATAGCTTCTGAATAAGGGATTTAAATATGATCCCCCATCTCTCCGCTGTAATTTAATTAGAAAGGGCTCAGATTCCAGGTTCTGTTTTGACCCATTCCTGAAAAGAGAATACTACATCATATGGATATAGTGAGACTTAATTAAAGTTTATAAAACACTTTGGAAAAGTCAGAAGAAAAATAATACTTTAATATCACTACATATTTTCATACACACACACATGATATTATATTATTATAATGATAAATAAAGCTTTGCACTTGCATAGTGCCTTTCATGTCAGGATCTGAAAGTTCTTTAAAAACTTGAATTAATGAAATAGTGTAATACCATTTTAAGATGGGTATTATTCCTATTTTACAGATAGGAAAACTGAAACCCAGTTTTCCATGACTTGCCCAAAATCACACAAGAATTGTGTGGCAAGGCCAACAGTAGAATCCAGTTCTTCTGGTTGTTAGTCCTGTGCCTTAGGCCTGGTCTACACTATGAGTTTAATTCGAATTTAGCAGCGTTAAATTGAATTAACCCTGCACCCATCCACACAACGAAGCCGTTTCTTTCGAAATAAAGGGCTCTTAAAATCAATTTCTGTACTTCTCCCCGACGAGCGGAGTAGCACCGAAATCGATATTGTCATTTCGAATTAGGGTTAGTGTGGCTGCAATTCGATGGTATTGGCCTCCGGGAGCTATCCCGCAGTGCACCATTGTGACCGCTCTGGACAGCAATCTGAACTCGGATGCACTGGCCAGGTAGACAGGAAAAGCCCCGCGAACATTTGAATTTCATTTCCTGTTTGCCCAGCACAGGAGAGCACAGGTGACCACAGAGAGCTCATCAGCACAGGTAACCATGCAGGCCGATAACCGAAAAAGAGCATCAGCATGGACTATACGGGAGGTACTGGATCTGATCGCTATATGGGGAGAGGATTCAGTGCCAGGGCCGGCTCCAGCATTTCTGCCGCCCCAAGACAAAAAAAAAAAAAAAAAGCCGCGATCAGTGGTGGCAGTTCAGCGGCAGGTCCTTCGCTCCTAGAGGGAGTGATGGACCTGCCACTCCCGAATTGCCGCAGGTGCTGCCCCTCTCCCTTGGCCGCCCCAAGCACCTGCTTGTTAAGCTGGTGCCTGGAGCCGGCCCTGTTCAGTGCTAGCAGAACTTAGTTTGAAAAGACAAAATACCAAAACTTTTGAAAAAATCTCCGAGGGCATGATGGAGAGAGGCCACAATAGGGACTCAGAGCAGTGCCCCGTGAAAGTCAAAGAGCTCAGACAAGCCTATCAGAAAACAAAGGAGGCAAACGGTCGCTCCAGGTCAGAGTCGCAGACATGCCACTTCTACGCTGAGCTGCATGCAATTCTAGGGGGGGCAGCCACCACTACCCCACCTCTGACCGTAGATTCTGAGGTGGGGGTAATCTCGTCAGCTACACCTGAGGATT